GCGCGACAGTCTGCTACCATAAAATAGAGTTCTAAAAAAAAAAGAAATATCACGCCAACTTTGTCTTGGTTTTGGAACACAGTTTTGCTGCACATCGTCGTCGGCTGAAAATCGAGCAACTGGGCTGCGAAGACTCATTGGCACCGGGTGAACGGTAAACAACCAGGCATCGCAGCAAGCGAAAGTGCATTGCGACTTATCTAGTTCGCCGATGACGTCAATCCCTGATGTCTTGTCACATTGCTGAAGTGGGTGGAGTCACGTTGACGGGCCATACCTTTTCCTCTCCACTGAAAGAGAAGGGTGACGAGGCGGCATGAAAATTTGAAACCAGCTGGACGCCATGCTTTAGGGCCTGTAACTTCCATTATATACTACATATTTGCAAAATTCTTGCAGTAGCATGTTCACGAAGTTCACGTGCACATATTTTTCTTAAATGCAACTTTTGGACCTTGGGGTTGTTTACTGGCCCTTTAAACGCGGATCGAAAAGTCGCGGTTTTCCGTAAAATTTTCACCTTTTTTTCCGGTTCTATTGGCATCCCTGCACTATAATCCTTTACTTCTGAAAATATCAAGCTGAAATTTGCGCGAGAAATGAACTAGAAATGCTTCAAAGTAGGGAGCGGTGACGTGAGAAATGCGCGAAAGTTGTTAAAAATGGCACAGTTTGCGTTGTCCTGTCGCGAAAAAGACGGGTGGGCCTCCATTCGCAATCGTGCACGCATTCTGCGAAGACCCTCCCCTTCACAATCCACTAATAGCTAGTCTCGAAGAATGAACCAAAAACAAGAAAAACAATGCATATGTTACGCATTTTGGAAAGTCCTTGAATATCCTTGAATTTTCACTTTGGAAACCTGTACGCACCCTGTATACAAATTCATTCTGAATGGGGCCTAAAAAAAAAAATCGGTCTTTTGAAAATTAAATTTTCAGTGTCTGAAGCCCTGTCTATCAGATTCCAAAATATCTTCACTAAAAACTGCATAGAAGTGCAATAAAAAGATTTTGCGCCTCCCGAGGTAGTGAAAAATCATGGTGCGAGTAACAATTTTTTTAATACGAGTTTTTTTTTTATTTATAGCTTTGTCATGGCACAACTGCCCACCACCGTTTTGGGGTCGTCGTCAAAGTATTTTGTAAAAAGCATAGAGTGTTCAAAAGGCAGATGTTTGAAATTTATTTCGAGGCCTCCGATAGGCTGTTTCTGCCGCGTTGCTCTGGTACGCCTTGATGGTCTGACGCTCATTCCGGATACACCTCCGGGAGTATGTTGCGAGGTCGCGGCTGTCTAAAGTCACGCTACTTGGTGACAATTTTGTACTTATTCTGTGTTCACGGGTTGTTAAGGCAGCTGCAAGTAGTTCTGTCTTCAGATTCAGACTACTATGGGACAGATCTTGGTACTCGCGATCGAGCATGGTGTACTTGAAAACTTGGGCATCGTGGCCATGCACACTGCATCGCAGCCTTGCTTTCTGTTCCAAGTCGTGGCTAGGCCTAACTCTGCCCCGAACTTGGCGGGCAAGATCGTTGCATTAGCGAATATGCGGAAGCGAAGAAGCCCTAGTGTGCTTCGTGACAACCAACGAATTACATAGGCTGTTTGCTCCTCCGTGGATAGGGATCTTGTGCATCGTTAGCGAAACGCTGCCAAGCTCCCCCACGGACAGATCGCACGGAACAGCGGTTGCAGTGGCTAGCAATTTCATGCCTCAGAGCACCAACACGCAAAATCAAGCACGTTGCGTGGTTCTTTTTCGGTGCTGTAGGTAAGCATTACCAACCATTAACAGACCGGATGTTGGCGGCCTTCATTCTTGAATCGGTATGTTGATATCCACGGCCTGATTTCTGTCCTGAAAGTATGCTAAGCAATCCCGCCGTGGTGGTCTAGTGGTTAACGTACTCGGCTGCTGACCCGCATCTCTGCTGCGGGATCGAATCTCTGCTGCGGCGGCTGCATTTCTGATGGAGGCAAAAATGCTGAGGCTTGTATGCTCAGATTTGGGTGCATGTTGAAGAACCCCCAGGTGGTCAAAATTTCCGGAGCCCCCCACTACGGCATCTCTCAAAATGTGGTGGTTTTGGGACGTTAAACCCTGCATATCAATCAGTCAAGTATGCCAAGCGATGTTTGAAGGCAGAAATTATTGAATTTGGGATGTCCGCAGTAGAAAAGTCCGCTGTAAAGAATTCGTGACCACTTTGCTGGCCTCACATTTTAGTCAATTATATACGAATGTCTGTTGTACCAGAATCTGCTCCATTGGTTGAGCTTCGTTTACTGCAAATAGGAAGGTAGGCATAATACGACAGGCTGAGCTTCGTTTACTGCAAATAGGAAGGTAGGCATAGTACGACAAGTTAGTATGGAGTACCGGAATGTCGGTTGTAAGCAGATCTGTTGTTACGAGGTTATACTGTACAGGGTATCACGGAATGTGCATGCCTGATATTGTGACTGTGTGACTGTATATTTTGTGAAAGAGTGTGGCTTGTGTTGATTACGGTATTTGTAGTGGAAGTGGCTTTTTCTCGTTTCATTGTCATTCTGGATCAGCTTACTGCCAAATACAGCAAAGTGAGGAAGTGATAGAAAGTGAATGCCACTTTGGGCACGGCTGAAACCTAGGAGTATAGGGTAAAAAATTTAGAGTTGACCATTCGGACTTTTGTTCTGGAGGGGAGCCAATTAATCTGCGATACGGTACTATCTGCTCGTCTTTTTTAGTAAATGGTAAAGCACTTTGTAAGACTTTTATACCATTCACTAATAAATGCTTCAAGGGACCACAGCTGTGTGAGTAAATGTTTAAGTGGGAAGCGGCACTTGGAAGTAGAAAATCTGCCCAAAAACCGCATTTACTCTTCCGTCATTTTCGCGTTCCCGATGCCCTTCCGCACCTATCAGCAAAGTTTGGCTTTGAAATTCCACTTGTTTCTCAAGTTATAAACCATAAAGTGAGCAACTTCGCGCAAGGGGACGTTTCGTACTTCAACCGCCGACGACAAGCGAACTACGCGCTCCACCAGTGCTATTTGGTCTTGTTGGAAAGGTCTTGTTTCTAGCTTTTTTTTCCTTTTCTAGTGGACAACTATGTGCCCCTCGCAAAAGCAAAAAAAAAAACGAAGTGAAAATCATGCACAGTGCGTGATTCCATTGGTTGCTTGATGCATGTGACCAAAATGGCACTTCCTGATTGGCCAGGAAAACTTGCTGGCAGTGTCTGCCACCATTTTTATAGGCTATCGCCCTTGCAAAGATGTCACGTCTCGTATCCCTAACGTGCTTGTGCATCTCGCTATGCCCGGCGGTGCGAAAAAGTTCCGATTGCAGCATCATTTTGGCCGTTCACCGTAGAAAGGCAAAGGCAGAAAGCTCAATAGTTTTGCTACTGTGTCACGGGAGCAAGCGTAGGCGTTGTTTGATAACGCCGTCGTAACTGAAGACCGTTTCTCATGCGTGCGCGGCGTGGCCGCCGGCCGCCGGTGTACTGAAGATGTTATCGATGGAGGAGTGTGCGAGACTGCGTCCTCGGATAGCAGACGCTCAGTGGATTGATTGCGGCGATGCTGTCAGCAACGGTGAGGTACGCAAAGACATGGGCCTCCCTGACAGTGTGCGTGATGTCGACTCCAGCCATGTGTCGGTAGACGCTGATGTGATTGGTGCCAGGGAAATTCACGATGCGTGCGCCCGCAAGACAACCAAGATGCTTGAGGGTCATTTGTCGATGTCGGCAATAGCGCGAATAATTGAGCGCTTTTTGGAGTCAAGTGGTGCGGCAATGAGGCAAGGTGCCAGCAAGGCAAGACTCGGAATTCATACGAAAGCCTTCAATCCGTGATTTGGAGTTTGGAGTGAGTTGGAGCTGTGCAAGCTGCTGTTGCAGAAGCTGCCCTGTGCTTCAACGCGGGCAACTGTGCCTCAACGTGGGCAATGTCAATGCATTTGCTGAGATTCTAGAGCAGCTGGATATCGCAATATTCAGCAGCACATCCCTGAGGGCTAGGGAGTGCAACCTCAAATAGAGAGAAGCGTCCCTAAGTCTGAGAAAGCTGGTCAAGAAGTATAAAGATGGGATGCATCCAGTCTATGCTTCTAGTGCATTTTCATAACATTTTGTGAGTATTTTTTTTAATAAAGGTGTTTTGAAATGCATTTTCTCGTTTTCTCAAAAGTGCAATTTTAACACATTTGCCAAGGAGAGAAAATAACTTTGGTTCTATACGAGTTATCAGCATTATTCTTTTTTTGCCAGAAATATAAATTCATGCAGTATGCAATATGCCTATCTTGAAGGCAATATACAGATAAATATTTTAAATGGGTCCTATGCGTGATAGGTGAAGTTGGCTTTTTTTTCTGTGGACATTGATGTTCTCTTAGTTTTGTCGAAATTGGCCCAGCGAATTGATTTATAGCATATTGCACTCCTTAAACATTCTAGATTGTTTCCACACTGTCACAAATATTTTGGTGCTTCCTGCTTAGATGCTATTTAGGCTCCAAACAAAGGGCCCAGTTTATACATTGATTGTGGAGTTTCTTGGGAACTACTTGACCTACCAAAAAATTAACTACATCTTTAGAATCTGCACATCTAAATACGCAAACTATGAAATTTCGTTCAGATCTATACATAGCAATGTTGCCCATCAAGTGTAGCCCCCCCCCCCCCCCCCCCCTAAAAAGAACTTGATCGTGCCTGAATTCATAGCCTTTTCAGCAGATGCCTTTCTAGAAGGCTAGAGAAATGTAATGTTGAGGTCTGATTGCAAATGATCTCACGGGGGGGGGTTGGGGATGGGAGAGTGGTTGGGTTGTCTATTATGGGTTCTTTTCTGTAGCTCAATTGAAATACTGTGTGCAGCAGGGACGCTGTCAGTTGTTTTTCTTCTGTCTGCCCCACGCAAGAAGGATAGTTTCACGTGATGTAGTTCGTCAGTGCTTGCTTCTTTCTTGAGCTGACGTGCCTTCTTTTTGTCCAGGATGATGGAGGATGAGGAGCGGCTCTTCTGGGAGCAGCGGCGCTTTGAGGACGAAATGGACCGTTGTCGCTTCTTTGGCCGAGGCCTTGGACCTATGGGGCCCATGCGACCGTGGGGACCACCCATGATGGGGCCCCCAGGACCCATGGTAGGGTGGCCCCGCCACTGTCCTTGCCCACCATTGCCGCCGCCGCCACCACCAATAGGGTGGAGGCATCGCTCCCGAGGTGGCAACAACCAGATTGGCAGCAACGCACACCCTGCTCGGGTGGGGGCCCAGTCTGGGCAGGTACATCATGCAGTGCGAGACCAGGCTTGCCTGTTTGAAGTGCCCTCCTATGGGTCCTCTTCTGTGGCGGGCTGGAAGTGGGGGTGGGGGTGGAACTAAGCACTGCTGCGTGAGGCACGTTTATAAGCCTGGTGCTCGCCCTCGCTGGTTTCTTCTGTCCTTGCTTGTAAAGGTTGCCAGTTGTATACATTAGCAAAAACGGTAGAATCTACATGATGCGAATTCGTACGAACGAAAAGCAAGTTAAAGCTAATCATGGAGATGAACAAGAATTTTATTAGGGTAAACTAAATTTTGCTGAAAAAAATGCCCATGATGTTCTTTTGAGCTTTCCTGTTTCACCGCCTCTCAATAAGTGCCACGATTTTCTCGCTCGTGCTGCTTGTGCGTTCACACTTGGCATCAAAAGAAGGGAAAGCGGCAAAACCTGTTAAAAATACGCTGCTTAATAAATAGTCCAGAAAAACGCGCCGCCAACTCAACACAAAAAAAACCACCCACATAGGAAAATTCAAGCGAAAACGCCGGAGCGGCCTCAAAACGGCGTCTGCACTCGTGGAAAACATTCATATTCGTTTTGCCTACCGCCGCCGCCTTCACCGCTTGAGAATTCATTTCATGCTGCCCATTTCCTGAGCATTAAAATTTCTACAGAGTTTTATTCATGCATGTAAAACACTGAAATGAAACCGTTAACACCTGTACAAACATTGTTTCGGGAGATACGCCAGCACAAATGACACGAGTAAACGCAGTGGCGGCGACAGATTCATCCAGCAGTGCAAGAGCTAGACATGTTAGATCTTGCCAACCCGCTGCTGCTGCTGCTGCACCCTCTTCTACTTCCGCTGTTTGCAGTGATGATAAACCAGGCTCTCAATTGTTTTATTGTAACTTTCACATCCATGTAACAGAAAACTTCACAAACACTTGTTTGGTCCCATAGCCTAACTGGCTAGTAGAGGGACCAATTGTGTGACATACCTACATACTTGCGCAAGTGGTTACACAGCGACAAGCGACATAAAACTGGATACAATGTTTAAAAATATAAAAAAAGCAAAAAACACATGATTGAATTATACAAAAAAACACAGCACTGAACATAGCTACTTATAGCACAGAATAATAATAGCACTAGAATAATACTAATCATAATAATAAGAATAATAATAATACTAAATGACTTTACAGACGTATTACTTAGAAAGTTCGCATGAAGTGCATGAAGATGTCCTTGTTAAGGCCGTGAAGTTTGTCGAGCTGGCAGGTAGTTCACAAGTCACCGGCAGTGCCTTTGCCCCCATGTTTAATTTGTGGCTCGTTGTTTACATGACGTGGTTTGAGAGCTGGTGCAGCCGGTGCAGCCAAATCCATTAAAAAAGGCGATCTGTTACCGGGTGGAGGAAAAATTGGTCTGGGGCTGATTTTTTTCTCGTCGGCCTTGCAGCGGGCATTTTCCGACTACTTAGGCGGGGAAGCGAGGGAATTCCCGAAAGTTTTGCCGCTTTCACTCCTTTCGAGGCACAGTGTGAATGGGCCTTCCCCCCACAGACATGCCGTGTTCCGCCGTTTGCATGCAGCGGTCAATTGTTTGTTCATGCTATCCGCGGTGGTTGGGGTAACCGTTAGCGTAACAACGAATTAGTGTAATATATATAGTGTAGTCTATTAGAAGCAACCTTAAAATTTGTATCACAAAATTTGCATAAACCGTAATCGTACAGAGATTCTACTGTATAGCTAGTTTGAGCTGACTGATTAATGAATATTGCCCCGGGATGTGGGTCACATTGGGTGGTTGGTAACGCTTACAAGCAAGAGCTCAAGAAACAAAGCTGTAGTTGCTCTTTGAAGAGTTTTTTTGTCAGTATATCAGCTTTTGAGTGAGTGTAGCTTCTCGTTGAGAAATTGAAGACCACAGCAAGTCTCTGTAGACAATAACAATTAGGACAAAAAACTGGCAGTGCATTGCATGAAAGTATGTTAGTTGAGCATTGCCAAAGAACCAGTAAATGGCATACCAAACAGTTAGCAAGCACACTCTTTTACGCTAGAGACTCTCATATTGAGATATCCTCATTGCAGTCGCCAACCGATTTTCCGGGCCTGGCGACGACCGCGAAATAGTTCGAAAAAGCGGTCAAGCCGTAAAAATGAAGTTTATTTGGATTAGAAAAGCCTAAAAGAAAATCCCAATAATGCCATTCCTCATGCCTTTCTTGGGACGCACAAGTTTAGTTCTTGTTAAGCTACGGTAACATCGTTGGCAATTGCTGCCGCGGACTGTTGCCGGCGACGATGTTGGTGGCTCCCTGGAACAAAGCAAACAAAACTTGACGACGGTTGGAAAAGGATGCATGCAACATCTCGCCTGTTCGGTGGGATTTAACAATTCTGGGCTTCTTTTACCTGCACAGACTCCGCACAGTACGAGAGCCTCCAGCATTTCGCCACTATCAAAACGCCACCGTCACAGCCGCGATCGAACCCACGTGTTTCAGCTCTGTAGCAGAGCACCGTGACCACGGAGTGCTAAAGTGTTTACCTAGCAACCGCGAGCATCGGCGAGCATCTGCCACTCACTACACTTGGGTCTTCGTGCCTAAACGGGTCTTCGTGCCTAAATGCCTATAAATGCCTATTTTCCAAATTAGCGCCTATATGAGTGCTATTCAAGGCCAAATTTTGTTTTCGAGCTTAATGTGAAACCGTTATTCAGGTAAAAAAGGCAACATTGATATTTCCATATACTAAGGTTCAACAAAGACAAAGCTTGATATGCTGAGAGTGATTGGAAGAGGAGCATGAGGAGTGCAAAAGACGCTATTTCTGCAGCCCTAAGTGGAAGCATGTCTCGGCGTCTGCACGGGAAGGAGGAAAGAGAATTAAAGATAGGTTAAGAAAGTAAAAGTGGTGTCTATGGCCGAGGACGTGGCGACCACCTTCTACAGACAGCTATACAGTGCTCTGAAGGAACTGAAGAACCGCCCTGAAAACCTGAGTGTCGCTAGGGGCAAATCTTAACAGGAATGATCCGGAGGCCCCAGTGCACTATTACGCTTGTCAGCTTGAAATGCCCAAACCCAGTGAGGGGCTCTTTAAAGTGTTCACCAATAGGGGAGAAATCGGTCCTATGCAATTAGACCTAGCATCCTTCTCTTCTGGGTTATCAGTGGTCTAGTTATCTGCTCTTGTGCTGCCCTTCCCAGCCACAATGAAACAAGAGACCCAGGAGAGTGGTAATTGAACGGTGGACACTTGACGCACAATGCTAGACAATAAAACGAAAGACCACGTACTGCAAATCACAAGGAAAATGCATGTCAATGTTCAATCGTTAGTACCTTCCTGCTATCTTCAATCGTTAGTACCTTCCTGCTATCTTGAGCAGTATCATTTTTTTTGCTTATTGCCGTAGATACAAGTCACCAACGTCTGTTTTGGAATATTTAAATTTCTGTAGAAATTCATTGTGCCTATAATTATGATTTTAAGGGCCTAAAAAGGTATTTTACCTGCCTGTCTTTGGCGCCTAAAACACTTTTTAGTGCTTAAAAATTCGGCCTCTACTAATAACGCATGGTTGCCCGCGTCCAGGAGCGTTATCACCTAGTACCATTCACTTATCACTTAGTGCCATAGGCATGTGCTCAGTAGGGTTGAGAGCTGGGCTAGTTGGTGAGACATCATTAAACCATATGGTGTAGTAGCGCAATTTTCACGGGGATGAAGAGGACAAAGACGAAGAGTGTCGTGTGTTCTTGTCCTCTTCGTCCCCGTGAAAATTGCGCTACTACACCATATGGTTAAATGAGGCATGTGCTCTTTGAGATAGTTGGTGTGGGGAGATTTCTTGGCTTCCACTGCGCTATCTTAAAAGTGGTCCCTCAAGAGGTGGCCGCAAATGCCGATGCATCACACTTCTGTTGTTGGTTAAAAGCTTGCAGTACACTTGACGATAGCCTGTCACTTTTCTTAAGGGGGGAGGCTACAATCGGATACCAACTTTTTTGTTTATTGAGATATCCTAATGAAATTTTCAGGATAGACTTATAGCAAAAGCATTAGAAGAACTACAAAATTTCATCAAGTTATGTTCACTGGTTTTCAAGTTACAGCAGAATATCAGGGTAGTGCACATGGTTCTCTTATTCCAGGCCTGGAGAACTTTCAAAAGGTGCTGGAACTGTGAAATTAACTATGATGATTCCCAGATTGATACTCCAGGGGGTAACAGAGCCCTTTTTTTGAATTTCCTTGCTGAAATGTTTTAGCAGACCATCAAACTTAGTGTTCGTGATTAGGATATTATCAATCAAATTTTGATTAAATATAATAAATAACACACACAATATATTGAAAAAATGGGCTTGTCACCCCCTCAGAAATTTATTCATGTACATAATAAAAAAAGACTTATGGAAATACAATGAGTGGTTCCAGAGATATGGCTGGAATAAGCAGCCTCACTAGCCAAAAAAGTCATTTTGAGAAAACGACGTTTGAAAGTTTTGAGCACATAGGCAGTTCTAAAATGAACCTGCAGCGTAACTGGAGGTGTCCTTTGGCACTCTTTCTTTGCCGCCTTTCCATCTTCTCTAGGGATCGCTTCTTAGCCTTTTTCAAGCGCAGAGAATCTTTCCCGGCTGCCCGTTGAATGGCCAGGTGGCCAGGTGTTAGCCCCACTGATGAAGCTAGCTCTTGGGTGGCCCTGTAGCAGCCAGCATTGTATCTTAGCACTGCATCATGCAGTGCTGTCTCCACAGCAATCAGTGACGCATGCTGCTCATTGGGCATGAGGGACCACAGCACAGAGTGAAAGGACTCTGATGCATTCTGCGTCTTTGCTCCCAGGCAGCGTTGCAGAAGAGAAGCCTGTGAGAGCCTCTCATAAATGGGTAGAAGTGCATCTGCAACATAGCGTGGCAGCTTGTACGAATGCTTCGGAGGTGGAACACCGGTAATCTTGCTGGCATTGTGACGACACCAGGAGTCTG